TATACTAAAATAAAAAAATTCTAGTTGACCAAAATTGAAATTATTAAACATTACCATATATCTGGTTATTTTAGGAGAAATAAGTATATCAAAGTGGAAAAAGTTTTCATGTGACATGTTTGGCCCTTTCTCACAAGCAAGCAAGAAAGAGACGCTGAGAATTTTAAATTTAAATATAATTAATTTTTTTTTTTTTTTTAAATATGTTTTGGAATATAATTTATCTGATTTCATTTAGATTCTTTTACTTTTTGTTTATGTTTCCATCACTTTTATTATTAAATATCTCATTGTGATAACAGAAGATCTGCTAAGAATAGTAAAACATTGTAAGGACCTGGATGCAAATTTATTGTGGATGATCTAGTGATTAAAAAATAGAAAGGGGCATAAGGCAAGATCTTACAAAATTAAAATGCAAAATCAGTTGTCACCTTCTGTTTTCCTGAATCTTGTCTTTTTAATTTTCTTTTCTCCTCCTTAATGCCTTCCATAGAAAAAAAAAACAATGGTGATGGGGGGGTAAAAAAATGCAATACTTGTCGGCAGACCAGCTGTATTTTCACCTTCTTCGGTCACCTCAAGGAAACGGATTGTGTGACTCTCTTTCTCAGCCATTACACTGGGCAGACACCAAACTCAGCCGTTCCTACTTCAACTTCCTCTTTGTCTGTCAATTCATACATCCAGCTCTATTGCATGCAGTCTGCCAAATGACTCCCGATTCACTCGTGCTCGTCGCACCCTGCTTTTTATGCTGTTCTAATATGGCCAAAATTTGCATGTGTGCAAATATTGTCTCGTTTTGGACAAGATCAGCGCGCATAAATTGCGTCTTCTATAGCAGCCATATTTCTATTTGTCATCGCTTTGCAAGCAAGACACGTTCGCGCTCGTTTTAAATTCTGAGGTAAGTCATGTCTTTCATCACACCTCATTCTGTTTCATTCCCAGTAACTCATTGTGTCTTAGAGGCTTCATTACCTTGCTTGAAGTGAAATGATTAAAAAACAAAATTTACAAAAGTAGAAATATATAAATCATCCCCATCAAGAATTATCAATCATTGACTAAAATGAAGTCATTAGTAAAAGATATTTTCACATTGTGTGATGAAGAGTTTTCATGGGTTACATTTACCTTATTTTTTTTTTTTGTGGTTTTCATTTGTCAATGAATGGAACTGAACTCACACCTACAAAGTTAAATCTAATTTGTAGCAATGTCTTTCTTCCAAATACCCAGAATTTAATTTGGTGTTCAATGAAGAAATTAAAAAAAAGACACAATGAATTATTCATCTACAAAGACTAAAATAAGTGATAAGAGTTATTTCAGACTTGTTGGTTTGTTATGAAACAAATGTCTTATTGATCATTGTATACAAAAGGGGATACAGGAAAGTTCTTATATTTTGATTCATGATGTAGTTGTAGATAACGCAGTAGAAAAATGTGCTACTAATGTCTATATACACAATGTTTATATTCACAAATGCACTCAGACACTGAAAAATTTTTTCCCCATAAAAATAAGGTTTTAAACATTATACATACATATATATATATATGTATATATATATATATGTGTATATATATAGCACATATGTATATATATATATGATATATATATATAATATATATATATATATATATATATATATATATATATATATATATATATATATATATATATATATATATGATATATAAATATATATGTATATATATATATGATATATATATATATACATATGTATATATACATGTATATCTTACTTATTATAAAACGCAGATTGGGTGTGTGCGTGTGTGTGTACGTTTATATATTGGATCAGATTTCCTAAATTTTTAAATCGATTTCAACAAAACTTCGCATGACTGCGTAAAATTACCTTGGTTCTGAGAGTGCCAAAAATTGGAAAAACACAATTGTTTTTGCATGAAATAAACTTGAAAACAAGATAAAACATGATTCTGTCGCCAGAATGAAAGGGGGACAACTCATATTGAGTTATACTTATAAAACCCAGGTTGTTTCTTTGTGTGTGTGTGTGTGTGTGTTTGTTTATATATGGGATCAGATTTCCTACATTTTTCAACCGATTTCAACAAAACTTCACTTTTTTTTTGGCATGTAGTGTTTCTTATTGTCTTGCACACTTTTTTCTTTATTTTTACATTCAGAATGCTTTAAAAATTCAATTTACAAAATTCTATTCAATCGATAGAATCATTACGATTGAAAACAATGTTTTTGTTTGAGTTTGGGTTTGACCAATTCGTAAAAAAAAACAAAAAAAAAAAAACTAATTAAGACATGCGTGTCCGTCAACCTTAAACAATGATCTTTGTCAATTTTATTTTTCAGACTTTATGATGGTCGATACTTGATCTATCTCTTACTGTTACATCCCCGGGCAACGCCGGGCTCTACTGCTAGTATATATATATGTATATATATATATGTATATATATATGCATATATATATATATATATATATATATATATATATATATATATATATACACAGTGTAACCCAGATGTATATCCGGTCTCTTTATATCCGGTTACACTGTATATATATATATATATATATATGTAACATCCCTCAGGCTTAGGCAGATGAACTGAGATGGAAGGTGAGACAGACCTTGGTGAAGGCCAAGCCACCCAGGTCTAACATAACAAAACTGGCAATCAGATCCCTACAGAGGAATGAAAACACCACCATACTACTACTTTCTGTACACAAACAACACATTTCAGAATGGGATCACACATATATCGACAGGATGAGGGCTTAGCAATGGGCTCGCCATTATCACCAACAATGGTGAATATATACATAGAATACTTTGAGGAAATGGCATTAGAATCTATAAAACCTGCTATATGGTTAAGGTACGTAGATGACACCTTCATACTCTGGCCACACCAGGAAGATGTTCAGGTTCTACTGGACCATGTGAATTCAATAAGACCTTCAATACAGTTCACAATGGAGAAAGAGAGTAACAACACACTCCCATTCCTGGATGTTCTAATATCTCGAACAGAGCATGGGTTCAAGACATCCATATATCATAAACCGACATTCACGGGACTGTACCACATTCAACTCCCACCATCCATCCAGCATAAAGAAAAGGATCGTCCGTTGCTTACAACACTGAGCAAAAGAAACATTAGATAAAAAACTGGTCAGTATAAGTAGTACCCTACAACGTAACAACTACCCTGAGTACATGGCAGCAGCCCTAAAAAACTGGGATAGGTGGGTACAAGAGGAGGACAACAACACTCAGAAAACAGTCTGCCTGCCTTATGTGAAGGGGTTATCAGAGAAAATACAAAGGATCTGTGGTCCATATAACATCAGGACAACCTTCAAAAGCTTGATGACACTTCGCAGATATCTCTCCTGAGTAAGACCCTACCATAGAGGAGAACATGACTAAAGACTGTGATGACACTCGCAATATACATAGACACACATGCATACAGGCACATGTATAATCTTGAGTTAGGTGCAGTTACATATATATACGAGCATGCATATTTATGCAATTTTCATTCTGTCTATTTTGGTGTCAAGATTGTAGCATTTCATATGTAGCAATGTTATCTTAGTAGGGAACAGGTGATGGGTGGCTTTGACATTTTTTCAAGTTGGCTGTTTGGGCCAGCAGACATGATCCTATGCAAATAATCAAACATGAATAAAGCATAAATCGATCCAATTTTGAAAAATAAAACCAGTTTGTCTGAAGATGGTGAAAGGGTGAAACCTAGGGTTACAAACTACTATCTATACAAACTGTGTATGTTAGCTTTATCATGGATATTGAGCACTTTCCACTAAATGCTGTATATATATATATATATATATATATATATATATATATGAATGTGTATGTATGGGAGAATATGATATATAAATTCCTGTATATTAGAAAAATGCTAGAAATGTTAAAATTCTATACATCAGAAAGTTGAATGAGAAAGTGGAATAATTCAGTGTAACACATTTCATTGAATGAAATCCTTCTGGAGGATGAAACATGTTACATAGAATTTTTGCATTTTGTCATTTAATTACCTAGTATCTGTGTGTTACAAAAAAGTGCTGAAAGGATCTTGGCCTGACCAACTTGCCAAAATCTGATCTAACCAAGTAATCGAACATAAGTTTTTTCATTTTTTTTATGAAAGGCTTTTTGATGGTGCAAAGAATTTTTCAGCACCCCTTGTACACATTGTGCTATATATATATATATATATATATATATATATATATATATTAATTCTTCCAATGAAACACTGAGTTGCCTTCTATGTTTTTCCTTCCTGTAGCAAATACCTCAGGGTCAGATGCTGAACTTCATCAGCCAATAATTCAAAATTAATCTCTCCAAATCCCAAACAGAGAGCCAATCATTTTCTCAAACAATTCATCTGAACAGCAGGAAGAATGGCAGATCAATAATAAAATGTGATATCTCTTTCTCACATGTCCCTGCCATTATCTTGCTCACGGAAGATAAACTTGTAGCACAGTGATAATTATAGCTGTGCAGATAAACATAATTAACTGTCAATGACAATGCCACAATCTTTCTTGAAGTTTGGCGTTTCTATGCAGATCAGAACTAACTTGGAATGAAAGTCTTTAATGTATTTGCAATGATTGCTACAAGCCACATTCAGTACATAACCTTCTTTCATCTATTAATTCCTAACCCCCTGACTAACCATCTCTTTATCATTTTCAATGTAAAACAGAGACAAAGTGCAGAAATAGGCAAAAATAAATTTTTCTAACAAATTGCAAAATTTGGTGATTAACCAAACTCCATTCAAATGCAACAATGCTGTTTTTCATTCAAATCTCTGAGGATCATGTTCACCTTTTTGTAGTGAGACTAATAATCAATAAGAGTGGGCTGTTACAAATTCTTCTGTGAGGCAGATCAAAATTTACAGTCCTCTGTACAAACATATGAAGCTAAGCTGGTGGTAAGGAGTCCCACAAATCCAGCAGCAGGCATGATTTATTTCAGATGTTTAGCTCTATTCCAGTGTTCTTTAATATGATGATATAGTGACAAGATATTTCAAGAGTTTCCTAAACTGAGTTCATTAAGTACTAAATTCAAATTCTAAATTAACATTCACCAAACAATCAAATTATTGCCTGTGAATTCAACAGGAAGTTTGCCTGGGGCCACTTTTCTACAATAAAAGCAATAAGCATGCCAAAATCATCCCCACTTGTCTAGGCAAGCTATCCAAGTTTGATCTCTTTACAAACAATTGAGATTTCACTTATCACAGCAGATTATGCTACACTATATTTTTTCTACTTCTATGTACCTTATAATGTCAGTAATCATGGCTCTCCACAACATTCCACAGCTACTTTCCTCTGACCTTCTTGGCTTCAGTCTGTCAAGTGAAATTCACATTTTCTAAGCAGTCTTTTCTCATTATGTGCCGTAGAAATCCAATTGTCTCTTTCTGATTCTAAGTACAGATGTCCTTTTTTGTTTCCATTATCTCTAAAGATAATTACCATTAATAATTACAACAGCATTACTGCTTACTTCCCAGTACAATGAGGTTCTATTTTTATGAGAGTCAAATCAGACAAAAAAAAAATAAAATAATAATAATAATGGAAAATTGCTGCCATATCTGGGCTGGAGCTACCTACTCATCTCTTTCCAGCCTTGACAGGAGTCAAAAACATTTACATGGCCTTGTGGGTGATGAATCATTTTCCACTCTACAACCCCTTTCTCTCAAACGAAACATTGCTAACTGTAGTTACATGAGTCTCTATTCCATGTACGTTGTTCGTACAATACAAAATACCACTTGTTTAATCTGCTGTTCTTGAGTTCTTCATACTTCATCAACGTAAACCCGTTCTGCCTTCTTACTGCTTCAGCCCTCTTTTATCAGACCAACACCACGGCAAACTAACCAATTAGTATTCTTTGGTTTGCCCTCAGTTACCAAGGCAAATAGCCTCCTCCAGTCCGACCAATCAGCACATGACTTGCTATTGGTCAATACATGCTAAGCTGTACAAAAGCCACCATTACAGCACATACTGTTGGAACAGTCCAACATGAAAAGTGGTGATTAATGCCATTTTCAAGGAACAAAATGCACATGCTACGTGCCATGTTTTGAGGTAAGGAACTTATTTTCCTTTGCATCAGATGCAAGCCACTCTGGCTCACTTACTTCTATGTGATTGTTCCCCCCACTAACCTTATGCTGTTCTATTGCTATTTTCATGGCAAATGTTCAGATGAGCTACATTCCTTAGTTCCACCAGTTCAGACCTTCAAAGCTAGGCCCTGTCCTATACACAGTGTTGAATCATCCATATTTCCTTCATATTTAATTGGTAAAGAAGAACTTCAAGACAGGCAGCTTCTTCCCCAGAACTATTACTTTGAGGAACTTGTTATATTAAGTGTATGGTGGCAGAACAAAGAAGAAATAACAGAAATTAACGTAAAAATACAATAAATGGCAAATTGGTGTAAATGTCTCTCATCGAAAGAAAGAGATAAGTGGAATTGTAAAAGTTGTCCACAGAGGCATATGGTAGAAGAGAGAAGGTGAGTTGTGACTTACTGTGGTGACAGCCCTTGGCAAGATGTCTTCTGGAGATGGGAGGTCACGTTCCAATGAGCGTTGTGCATCCGGGCTGTTGTGCCATCCAACTGCCAAAGGCATCCCATTTTTGGGCATTAATGTCCTTTTCTTAGGCTCAGACCAGCTCCAACTTTTATTTTGTTTCTTTAGGTGGGACTGGGTGCTATTGGGTGGAAATTCAGGATTGTATTTTTCTTTGAGTGTGTGAGTAAAAACGGAAGCTATGTGCAGAGCCCATGTGCAGTTGACAGAATTTTTAGTTGTCTTGGGTTTTGGAGCATTCACCTTCAGCCAGTGGTGGAAATTAGTGTAGCATGAATCAGAAGGGCTGGTTTTAGGAAGAATGCAACAAACATAATCCCAAAAGGATGCTTCCCTGACTGCTATAATCGTAATCCCTTCAAGTCTATGGTCAACCATTATCTATCCCATATATCCTTATAATATGCAAATCTGTCTTCATTCATGCACATATAACAACCTCATTTAGTAACCCTCTACCTTGAGTGGCTCTTGGGTTTTGTATTGCGTGAACAACAAAATAAAAAAAGACAATATTCTGTTTGAATTTCTGAGATGAGGAGTTATTATTTATATTCACATGCTTGAAAAATTTGATACTCAAAGGGCACATTGAAGGCAAGAGGGACATAGGAAAACAGCACATGACCTAATGACCTTGTTTAAAAGGGACATGGAGCAGAGAAGAAGAAAAAGAAGCAGAATATTAAAATATATTTCATCATTAATGTTTTGCTGCATTAGTTTAAATAAATCATAACTTCTGTCATGTTTTATCCTTACAAGAGTCAGACCAAAAATGCTTTTTATCATAAGTACCAGGAATGGAAGATTAAGTTTTAAACAAAAAAATCCCCCAAAAAAACAAAGAATTGTTTTTGGAATTGGAAATTAAGTTAAAAACCCTCTGATTATGATACCAATTCCAATATTCTAAAAAGTTCCAATATTTCCAGTTTTCGATTAATTATCCCATTTAAACTTTTTTACTTTATTCAAGAAAGGTTTTGGTAAATGTGTGGTGAGGAAATGCTGGTATGATCCAATTGCTACTAGTCAATATTACGATTACAACAGATACCTATTGTCAGTATTTAGAGCATTTAAATATTACTTTGAACGAAAGTAGTCAAACTTGACCAATTACAAAGTATGGTGTTCTACCTGTATAGTGTTCAGTCTTTGTATTTTTTCTGATGATACAAAGTTTAAGGATTGTGAAGCTGGAGATAATGCCATGTCTTTCTTACTCCCCAGATTTCACTCCTTCTGACTACCACTGATTCAAGTATTTAAAGACCCATCTTGATGAACTGGTTCTTCTTAAAACACATTAACAAGAGAATTATTCCTTTCCTCCATCGGCTTACAACTATATCACATTGAAATACCGGTTCTCAGATGACCACCAAAGTTAAGCAATGTTAAGCCTGGTCAGTACCAAAATGAGTGACTGTTTGAGAATACCAGGCACTGTAAGTTTTTCATGTGTGGATGGTGTAATGGATAATGGCTTTGAGCAAAGTTCTAGTTCCAGTCGGGTTCATTATATTCACATATGTGCAAATACCATTGGGAAAGGTACGAATCCACCTCTTCTCTACCCAGTTCTATACTTTCTTTCTTTTTTATGTACTACGTCCTTTCAGGACATAGGTGACCATGGCTCTCCACCTCTTCCTATCCCTTTCAGCTCTCAACAAGTTCCTTCCCTCTGCTTCCTCTCCCAGACCATGTTCTGTCATCCACTTTTTAAGCCCACCAGGTATGTCACGCGTTGTTCTCTTTTGTCTCTCTTTCCCTCTATTCAACCCTTGAGTATCAGATTCTCTAAGCCCTCCTTCCTCATTATGTGCTCCAGAAACTTCAGCTGCCTCTTCCTGACATTAAGTATAAGCCTCCTCCTTGTTTGCAATCTAAAATTTTATCATTGCTCATCATTGGTTGACTTTTACTTCTTTGTTTTTGTTAAGTATTTATTTGCAGTTGTTACTAACGGCTACCGTACATCACAAAACCAACAGACACACATTGACACCTAATAACTGATACATACTGATACATATGAAAAGACAGACACACACATAGATATATATATATCAACAGACAAACCTACACATCAGTAGACACAAGCAGACTGATAGACAGATATAAGCAGATAACTAAACAAAAGTTTAATGAAAAAATATCTCAAAAGTCATTTTAATCCCGGGCGATACCTGGTAACATTTTGCAACCACAATAAAACACCAGAAAGAATTTAAATAGACAGGTGGGCCAAGAGAAAGGAAAGAAATTTGCTGATGGTGTCAATTTAGTTACTGAGGGAAAGCAAGCACTTAGATTTGAAAAGTTGATCAATAGTGTTGTTACAAGATAAACCATTGTAAATGTTGAGGAACTCCTGAGGCAGATAAACACCTTTGGAGGAGATCTTCCTGAATTTTGGCAGTTTAGTGACAATTTGGTTTATTCTGCAATTATTCTTGCAGCCAATTCTGATCGAATTTTGTCTTGGACAGAATAGGGGTCAAACTCTACTTTTTACTTTTTCTCAGAAAAACAAAATTTTTGCCTATTGTTTATTTAACATATACATACATACATACATACATACACACACACATTATATATATTTAGGGAAGAGGTTATAGTTGTTCCAATGAAAGAAAAGTGTATATATTAAAAAGAAGAGAGAAACTGCAAAATGTTTTTGGTTGTAATGTGGATTTTTTTTAAAAAATATATATTATGCTTTATTTTCCATTATTATGGAAAATAAAGCATAATAGAAACATTTTGTGGTTCCTCTCTTCTTTTTAATATATATATATATATATATATATATATTACTATCAATGACAGAAATGTAGGCAAGTAATTCTGATATAATATAATGACACCCACCCACCATTCAACAGAATATTAAAAAAAATAACTTTATTTTATGGTACATATAATATATAGAATATGGAGGCATGGTGGAGTAATGGATAGTGGCTTGGATTGATAAATTGGAGAGCAAAGTTCAAATTCCAGTCGAGTTTATTACAATCACTTATGGGCTCATACCCTTGGGAAAGGTATGAATCCATCTCTTCTCCCCACCAACTATGGGTAAATACCAGGACAGACTAGATCCCATAGCCTTGGGTGGTGAATGGTCTACGAGAAGGACAAATCTGAATTTAAAATTTGCAGAGAATCGTTTGGGGACCTTGTGTCATACTGTATTCAGTTCTTCCAAAAAGTGTGCTGATTTCAGAACAAGCCTTCACTACAATAATCAAATGATATATGCAGGTAGTCTGGCTGTTGGTTCTATATATATATATATATATATATATATATCTGA